TGATGGAACAAAAATCATTTTCTGGTTGGTCAGTATTCCTTCCATCAGGGCCTGCACAACTTCTTCAATCTCCAAAATCTTTCCAAGCCTGCAAAGGAATGCAGAAATGTAAGAGCTACAGGGGTGGTACTACCTGATATGGGGTGCTTACGTATGCACTAACTCAGGTAGTTCAAGTGCAACTCTCACATGGGTTGAATGACACTGCAGATTTTCTTTAGCCAATTGCATATACCTTTTTAATGTAGTTAGTGGGAAAACAAGCCCTCAAGCTGGGGCTAGTATGTATGCCTAGATGTAAAGAAGGAAAAGAAGGCATTTGACAGTTACCTCATACTGGGGTTTTTGACAAATCCCGTGTTTATGAACACTGGACAAAGACACGAAGTTTTGATTCCATCCTTTCCCAGGGTAGACAGCTCCTCTGTCAGAGCTTTGTGAAATCCAACGGCAGCAAACTTGCTTGAACTGCAGAGGGGGAAAAGCACAGATGAGAAGGTAGGAGCACTGTTTCTACCTTTTGACAACTGGAAATGAGATCACACAGTATGTACTGTAATCCAGCTGAGAGAGAGGGCAGAGAATAATTCTAACTTTCCCTGTGCAAGGGCGTAATGCTGAATTAGATACTGCTGCCTGGGGAAGGGTGGAATAGAGACTGGACTGGAGAATGGAGTGGAATGCAGAGTGGGCGTCTCTCAGGAAAAAACGCCTTAGTGGTGAACAGACAGTCAGGAATTTTCAGAAAATGATAACTAATGTGCATCAATTGATGGGCTTCCCCTTTTTCCCAGGTCAGGAGATTCTTGGAAGGAACTGAGCCTGAATGTGTAAAATGAAGAATGATGGGCAGCATAAAAATGGAGAACAACTCTTGCTGTTTCTCATAGCGCATACGAGTGTCTCATGACACTTGTGTGTTGAGATATGAAATACAGGAGCGTTATCCATGCAAAACTGAGGAACTTAATGCTATGGAAATTGGTGCAGGCCAAGAGTATAAATCAACTGCAACAGAAAACAGAGCCAGAGCATCAGCTTATTGACTGCTCTTGATTTGGACAGTGTCATTCAGGCAAAATCTCTGGACTGGGAGTCCTCACACTGCCAACAGGGAGTGATTCTCTAAGAAGGAGTGTTCCCAGTGGAAGACTGAGCTGCTGGAGCTGCTATCGTGGAGGGCTGGATCTGATGCAGAAAGACCATATACAATCAGGAAATCTTTTTGCTCATGCACTCTGATTTTTTTAAGCCATATTTAAAGTCAAAAAGCAATTTTATCTCATGACGGTAAAAGTATTTCTATACACTACAGTCACTGCCAGAGTGGTGGAAAGACCAAAAGCTCCTAGTTAGAGGCTAACTCAACAACACTGCAACAACTCACAGAAGCCCTACTTTCTAAGGAGGAGAAGGGAAGCAGATACCTTTTTTCTCAAAGCAAAAGTCTGGATCAGTGAGGGAGAGAAAAAAAAATAGCAGCTTTCATTAGTTGATATGTCACATCACTACTCCTTCAGACAAGCATTGCTCCTGATTCAGTCAGTGCTAATAAGGAAACCAGTGGGAACCTCCAGGCATTCTTAAGTGCTGGCTGTTGGCCTTTTTTCCTCCTCAGCGCCATCCTCTGCATGTACTGTGTCCAGTGGGAGGATTATTTTGGTTACTCTGTGCTGGCTGATGGAGAAGTTGCAATTAAAAGCAAAAACAAAGAGAGCTGTTTTAAAATCACTTACCAATAAGCCACCATGAAAGAAGTCACAAAATGTCCTGCTGCCGAAGCCACCGTGACAATGTGACCGTGGTTGTTGTTCATCATGGCTGGCAGAAAAGCTCTTGTGGTCTTGAGAGTCATTTAAAGCAAGAGGCAGAATTGGGGTGGGGGAAGCGGGCAGAGAACAAAGTTTTCTTAGGCACATTCGGTGATGACCCTGACTCTTGTTAACTGATTGACTCACACTATCACTAACACTATGTGCTGCACAGCACCTCAGATTCTGGGAGCCACAGAGATGCCTGAGATAAGCAAGAGGTTAATCAAGTTTCCCAGCAGTCAGTCAGTGTAGCGGGTGCCCCTGTGCTCTACACATCCAAAAGATGCTTTTGTAGCTCATGGGTAGCCAAAAAATCATTGTTAGTCTAAATACGCCCCCTCAACAACGCTGCCAAAGAACTTAGGCATGAAGATGGGAGTGGCCCTTACCCACATGTGAGCAAGAATGTTGACTTCAAACATTCTTTCAATCTGGTGGTCCTGAGTCGAAAGCAGGTCAGCAGCTGTAATCACACCAGCATTATTCACCAGGATGGAGACATCCCCAATGTCCTTTTTCACCTTTTGGACACAAAAAAACAGAAAGGTGCATGTCACTCATTATAAAAAAAATGCAAGGCCGTGGAAGACGAGTGACAATTAATTTAACTCTTAAAGTAGGTTGTGTAGGGAGAGGAAGAGTGCGCCACGTTTCCGGATGTGGTAAGAACTGTGCAGTAGTACCCTGAAATCTAGTTTAGATGTGATTCTTTTCCTTTAATTACTGCCAGCATTTGCAGCCTTCCACATGTCACCCACGGGCATGGTATGCTCTGCATAGTCACGGTTGGAGCTATGGACATACAGACTGCTTTGAGCCAGCTGAACCATGTTCCTTACAAGAAAAGGTTTCAAATGTCCCCAGTGTTGTCTGTGTGCTGTTTGGGAAACTAAAAGGCTGAAGTTCCTTCAGGGGTTGGAAGCCTAAGGAGCAAACCTGGCAAAGAGGCATGACTTGCTGGAGCCTGACAAAAGAAGGTGAGGCTGGCTGTGATATTGGAAGTGCCACTTCCCTCCCTGTACAGAAAGTGACAAAAAGGGGGAAGGTTCCAAGGGCTCTCATGATTTGTGTACAATACCTCTTCTCTTGCTTTCCTGACCTCTCTGACACTCAAGCCTGCTTGGGTAAAGCTTTGAGTATGCCCTACCTTGTCTGCAGTGCTGTAGATTTCCTCTCTTTTGCTGCAGTCCACCACAAAGGCTTGAACAGTGGCTCCCAGCCTTTCACACTCTGCTGCTGTGTCCTCAAGGCCGTGCTGTAAGAGGCAGAAAAGAAAGACATGCGTGTGCAGCTGTGCCCTGCCTGCATTTTGCTGCTCGGGCACCGCAGTAGACAAGTTAGAGGCTGAAGCTGTCTTGCATAACCACTGCCAAGGCACTGAACAGTCTAGACTACCCAGGGCAAAAGTGGTAGCCGGGCTCCCCGGGAGGACTGGTTTTTCCAGCCTTCAATTTTGGTCTTGCAGAGAATGACTACCAGAAAGGGAATGTGGCAACCAGAGTGACTTTGCCTTGCTAAAGCACAGGCAGTTGAGCAAGGCAGCAGCAAGGGGGCACTCAGTGACTTTCACAGCTCAGCAGGCAAAGAGCTCTTAAAGCACCGGCATAGCGGATATAAAAAAGCCGCCCAATGCACCTCTATATTTACAACATTTTGCACATGCAGAAAAGAAGCTCCCCTAAGTCATTCTATCAGCCAACTAAATGGTGGCAGAAGTAACTTCGCTGCCGCCTTCTCCCCAGGTGCCAGAAAGCCATGCCAATGGGGACCTATGCAGTGAAAAGGCCCAGGTCCCAAATGGCCTGGGACAGCTCAGCGCTTGACAGAAGCTGTGCAGGTCCCTGGGGTGGGTGACCAGACAGCTCCACTCAGTCCCAGCTGCTGCTTAGGGCTGATGGCCCCCAAGAAGGAGGCCCTTCCCAAGGCAGTTTTGTTCTATAGTGGACTAGCGAAGCACACTCTTGGAACCACCTCCCTTGGCAATGTATTTCAGTGCCTGCTTACACCCACTCTCACCATGCATTTCCAAGCAGCAGAGCTAGGACTTGCTTGCTACTAAGTTTAAACACTCGCTACAACCCACTCTGCACAGCCAGTTGCTCCTACGCACAGTACTTTGATCCCTACTGCACGATAGTCAGCGTGTTTGTACCTGCCCATCCTCCACTTGCCAAGGTCTTTTTGAGTTCCAGTGAAATTATCTGAAATGAGAGTCTGGGCTAGTGCCAACATTTAGCAAGGACCCATCTAGGCGTGTAACTGCGCCAGAGGGCAGCAGGGATCACACACAGCTCAACACGGTGCTGCCCACCACCACAAGTACCAGGGTACGTCTTCCAGCAACACAGTACGCAAAATATCTGAAGCGAGAGAGACAGCGAGCAGGATGTGAACTTGCTTCTCTGTAGAAACAGGCTTCTGGTCTCAGTGTGCCTTCTGCCAGCCTGGGCAGAGGCTCCATCAGCAGATTGCTGACGGCTGTGTTCCCCTCTTACAGGCACTTGTTGTTGAGCTGGTTGTCCCACCTTGCTGATCAGCACTGAGTAACTGTGGGACTCGGACACCCACGTCCTCTGGTGCAAGCGGGGCAAAACCTCCTACTCGTGCTCAGCGTCCCGGTGAGGAGGCCAATTGTGAGCCTGAATGAGTGGATGTTGGAAGGAGATGATGTGGATGCCATTTTTACACAGCCCGCCTTAGGCCGTTAAAAATCCGGTGGCCTCGGGATTTAGTGAGTCAAGACATGAAGTGTACCATTACCTTATTGATGTCCCACAGAACCAGTCTGCTTTTTCGCTTGGCGAACTCCAAGGCAGTTGCTCTCCCAAGGCCATGGCCAGCACCTGTGATGAGAACAAGCTCTCCACTGACAGACTTTCTCTTCACAGGAACAAAAAGCTTCACAAAAGCCTCTAAGTAGGAGTAGATGAGCGTAGCCAAAAATAGGAGAAGATCCAAGAACGGATTCATTGTTTTTCTGGAGTCCTTTGATCGCCTGACGGAACTTTAATCTCTTTTGACGAGTTGATTTAGCAGCAGCCAGCAGTAGTGCGCCCCTTGCAAATCTCAGGAGGATGGAATTGTTAACGAGTGCCAGTGTAATCCCAAATTCCTCGGTTTTCGTATGGTTTCCGTTTCAGCGGTGGGTGGGGAGCAGCAAAAAGCCAGAAGCGTGCCCTGGACCCTGCAACGCCGGAGAGCGGCACAGCGGGCTCGGGGCGGGAACGGGGGAGGAACGGGGCGGGCCCGTGCGTGCGGTGATTCACGGCTCAGTCCCATACCCGCACTCGGAAGACGCGACCAGGCCCGGGGACACTTCACTCCTCCCCCTACTCCTCCTCCTTTTCCCTCTCCTGCGCCTTCGTCGCCGCCAG